CTCACTGCCCCGCTGACTGACTGACTGCCCGTTCCATTGCAGACGGGCTCTGCGCCTGGAGCGAGGAGGAGTGCAGGAACTTCGAGCACGGCTTCCGTGTACACGGAAAGAACTTCCACCTGATTCAGGCCAACAAGGTAAGGCCCCTGCGTGTGCCCACCCGTCTCCCTCCAGTTTGCTCGGCCGACTTCGCCAGATTCATTCCCACCCCAGAGAACCAGGTCCCACTGCAGGTGACTTCTGGCAGCTGTGCCCGACGTGGTCCCTGTTTGGTCAGAGGCACTGTCCCGTTGTCACTGCGTCCTCAGGGTGGAGCCCATCCATTGGTGGGGTCCCCATACAGCCCAAAGCCACGGGGACTCAGGGTCTCCTGGTTTTCTTGTCCAGGGGCACCAGGTGGTCCTTCTTTCCAGTCTTACCGGATGTGAGTCCTCCAGGTGTCTGTGTTCACCTTGCAGCAGCAGTGGCCCCGTGGCTTCTGGGGTGACTCCCACCCCCAAGCAGGATCTCCTTGGTAGATCTCCACCTTCCAGCTGCCAGTGATCCCACCTCGGAGGCCCCCGCTGGGGTTGTCTGTCCTCTGCTCTGGCCTTGTGACATGGGGACGTGCTGATGTAGGGCCTTGGTGTCTTCCTCTGCAGTTGAGAGGTGGGCGGTTCTGGATGGGGACGTTGCTGGGGTGCCCAGGGCTGGGCTGGAGGCAGCGCTTGACCCTGTTCCATCCTCACACTTCAGCATCTGAGGCTTCTGGAGCCCCATGGCCGGGTGTTCTCCTGCTGGGGGCTCTTGGCTTCAGACTTCTTGGTCTGCATGGTGTCTGGCTGCAGGCACAGCACTGACTGCCTAGCCCTCCCCGAAGACCTCTCTGGGTGCATTCAGACCGGTGTAGTGCTGGATGGGAGACGGTGCTCAGAGGCCAGGCGTTGATGCCTCGTGCTGTCAGTAGGGGTCTGTGTACCCAGAGCACCTCCTGTTGCACAGCCCCGGCGCTGTGGGTGATGCTTCCCAGGGGAAGGGCCACACCCGGGGTGGCCTGGATGCCTCCAGCGGCCGGGTGTGTGCCTCACACGCCAGGGGCTGCCACTGCTGCACCGCCTCCTGCCTTAGCACACCCGGCCGTCTCCTGCCATGTCCTAAGTGTGACTTAGAGTGTGGGTTTCATAGGACCCAAGGTGTTTTGTGTTTGCTCAGGCAGTTCTTTCTCGGGACACGAGTGACGCTCCGTGTCCAGTGGCCCTTAGCTCACACGATGTCCTCTCTGGGAGCTCCATCCATGGTGATTGTCCTGTGTTCAGGTCCATAGGAGCAGGTCGAGGAGGTGGACACTGACCCTCCCTGGGGTCCTGGGTCAGGGATATGGGCGGTGACCCTGGGCTGGGGCCTCTGAATGTTGGTTTGTGATGTTAATGCCACATGGGGACAGCAGGGTCCCAGGCCAGGAGGTGGGAGCTCCAGTGGGGCCACGGGGCCAGCAGCAGTGGCCCATGAGCCCAGATGGAGGTGGGAGAGGTGGGGCTGAGGCTGGGCAGCAGAGCCAAGAGGGTGCCTGCTGTCCTGCAGGTGCGCACGCGGTCAGTGGGCGAGTGCGTGGAATATTACTACCTGTGGAAGAAGTCGGAACGCTATGACTACTTCGCCCAGCAGACACGGCTGGGCCGGAGGAAGTACGTCCCGTCCGGAACCACGTGCGTGCAGCGCTGCTGTCAGCAGTAATGTTGGCTGGGCCACCTGCCCGAGGCCGGGCTGGGTGTGGTGGGCACCTAGGTGACACCTCGGGCTCAGGGCATCATGCGCCCTGCTTCCTGGCCCCTCACAGCTCCTCTTCCCACAGGGACATGGACCAGGACCTGGATGGCAGTGACCCCGATGGCCCCGCCCGCCCCCGTCCCGAGCAGGGGCCCCTGGCAGGTGCATGCACAGGTAAGCTGCACCAGGGCGGCTGTGTGCTCTTCCCTGGCACTGCCCTGGGTCAGGCTGCACCTTGAACACTGGCCCTTGCGTGGATTTGGGCTGCCTTGGCCAGCTTCATGAGGTGTGTGTTGGGGGAGCGGATGCCACCTGTTATCTGGGTCCCATCCTACTCAGTGTGGGGTGCTCACCAGGCTATTGAGGCCACCAAGGAGCCAGGCAAGGCTACAGATGAATTCTGTTTTGTGACACTGAATGGAACTCAGGGCCTGGGCACACTAGCCTACATCCTTCGAACTTTTTATGGCATTCCCTAGAAGGGACACAAGTGGGGACCTCTGCTTGCTTGAGATGCCTCATTTCCAGAATCTAGGGTGGTTTGCCCAGAGGGTGCCCATGCCTGCCAGTTTCCAAAATTGTGCATTGAGCTGGGTGTGGTGGCACGTGCCTGCCATCCCAGCATTTGGGAGGCTGAGGCAGGAGGATCATTGTGAATTCGAGGCCAGCCTGAATTACATAGCAAGAGCAAGTCTCAGAAAACACCGCTAACAACAGAAACTCAAACTGCATATGATGTGCCTCTGTGACGCTCAGAGGCACAGTTCACACAGCTCCATGCTTACTTGGTTCTCTCGGTGCCTCGGCTTTTGTCAGCCTTTTGAGCTGTTGTATCTGGTCCTGTTTGGAATTGTGGGTTTTTGTTTTTGTTTTTGTTTTTTGGTATTGGGGATCAAACAAGGGACCTTGCGCTTGCAAGGCAGGCAGCAGAACCACTGAGCTAAATCCTGGCCCTGGAATTGTGGTTTTGACCCCGAGTTGATCTTTGAGCTTAAGAATGCCAGGGCTGTGGGCTACACAGTGAGTTCCAGGTCAGTCTCAACTATGTAGTGAGACTGTCTCAAAATAAAAAAAGAATGCCAGGGCTGTTCAAAGGGTCCACCTGGGCCCATGACCGCTGTGTGGCTGGGTCCCTGTGCGTGTGTGTTTCAGGTGTTTGTGTGGCACATCTTTCTGAGGAGGCCAGGCAGGAGGAGCCTGCAGTGGCGGCTGGAAGTGCTTGTGGGGTGCGGGAGGGCTGGCCTGCGGGCTCGGGTCTGCTCCCCGAGAGCAGCCAGCACCCAACTGTGTTCTCCCCGGCAGAGCCTCTGAGTGTGGACTGTGCGGCCGGTGGTCGTGGTGAGCCCAGAGCGGACTCCGATGGCCTCCCATCCTCGGAGCCGGGACCCTGTCCCTTCCCGAAGCTGGATGAGTCCCCTGCTGTGCCTCTGCCCCAGAGGCCACCAGCCCTGGCCAACCTGGCTGTGTACCCCTCAGACACAGCCACTGCAGAGCCCGGTGCCAGCCCAAGACTGGCCGTGGACTTCGCCCTGCCGGAGGAGCTGCCCCTCCTCTCCAGCCATGTGGGTCTCAGTGAGGACCCCGAGGAGCCTGTGGCCCCTGCCCAGGTGGCCTTGTCGGTTGCTGAGTTTGGACTCATTGGCATCGGGGATGTGAACCCTTTCCTGGCTGGCCACCCAGCGTGCCCGGCTCCCGGGCTGCACTCGGAGCCCCTGTCACAGTGAGTACCGCCCCCCTTACCCTGCAAGATTGCTGGCCCCTCAGGCTGAACCTTGCCCGCAGGGGCCTGAGGGTGGCAGCCCTGACAGTCTCTGCCATGAATCTGAGTCACTATTGCACTAGGTGGTACATTTATGTGGTTCAAACCCAAGAAGGTACAGAGGGTGCAGGTGCCAGGTCCCCAACCTGCCCCGGTGCCCTGCACCCTCTGCGTGAAGGGTCTCCACAGGAACGGGCAGCTCAGCTGCATGGCGGGGGGCCACTGACCCACTCCTCTCTCTGGCAGCTGCAACGTGATGACCTGTTGACCCCTGGCTGCAGGCAGGAGTGGGCAGCCTGCACCAGACTTGGCACCGAGCCAGGCCTGCCCGTCAGTCTTCCTGACCCCCGCCATGTGGGCCTCGGTGATGCCTTCTCTGCTTCAGGAGACATCAGGACCGGGTGAGGTGGCCGGGCTGGCAGCCCTTGCCCCTCCTCACAGACTGGACCCAGGGCGCCTTGGTGCCTGGCACTGCCACTGTGCTCCAGGCTGCAGTCGCATCACGGGACCCAATGGGCAGCAGACGGACGCAGAGAGGGCCTGTCCTTCAGGACACAGGGCAGAGCTGGCCTCCTGGCCCCTTCCAGCCAACGGAGGCGCAGGCAGACGTCACTGCCCCATGGGGAACATGGGCACAACACGCACCAGCAGCCCCTGCCTGGGCATCTCGGCACCTGTCGGCTCTGTCCCTCCATGCCTGTAGGGCCGTGGAGCTGCCCAGCCCTGGGGTCGGTGGGCACAGAGCCATATACCTCGCTGTGCGGCCCCTGCCCACCCCTGGCCTCCAGCCCGTCTCCACTTCAGGAAAAGCCGCACTTTATGCCCCACCTGCCTCCCATCTCCACATCCCCACTCCTGGCTCTCGAGGTTGGGGTGGGGCCCTCAGCCAGCCCTGGGGGTTTAAGGAGACAGGTGAGTCGCACCCCTTTGCCGCCTCTTCCGGGGCGCCTGGGCAGGGAGCAGCAGAGGGGCTGGATGCCAGCCGGACCCCTGGCCTGTAGTCTTCGTCTGTTGGAGGTGGCCCGGCAAGGTGGCGGGGTCCTTGTCCTCTTACCACCCTCCTGCTTGTTTATATTGGTGTTTACAAGGCGGAGTGGGGTCCTTGGCAGGCAGCTGGCCCCCCCGGGTCAGCAGCGCAGTGCTGGGCTGGAGCCATTGGCACTGGACTCGACTGTCCCTCGCCCCCAAGACCACACTGTGAAGTGAAACTGCCTTCGCCCCTTTGCTCTTTTATTTATTAAACTTGATTTGAATCCCAGGCGCCTCTTGTGGGTGAGGTGGGGCCAGGAGTGGGCAGTGATCGTTGGCTCTCTGCTGGCTGAGGGCACAGGCAGCGACTGGTCCAGAGACTGGGCGACCTCACGGCAGGACACAGCATGAGGGACAGCGCTGGATGTGGAGCCGACGGCCGCGGAGGCCGGGCTGCCTTGTCCACAGCATGGGCACTGCGGGCAAAGGCCTGGTCCTGGAGGCTGGGCAGTTGGGCAGTCCGGAACGGTCTCCCCGAGGGCGAGGTGCCAGGTCTCGGGCCTGCGCTGTGGCCGTACTTCCCATGCCCTGACCAAATGCCTGGGACAAGGGGCCGGGCAGCGCATGCCCTGCACCCCAGCCACCCACCACCTACTCACAGCCACTCAGTTGCAAACTTGGCAGCCGCCTCTGGACAATGCTGCGTGGGACTGGGCCCTGACCCCCTGGTCTCTGAGGATACTGTGTGTCTAAACCATTGCCAGCTCCAGAGGAGCTCTGCAGCCGGCCGGGGTCTCACCTGGCTGCTGTCCCGACTGTCGTCTCCGTCTCGGCTTTGAACCGTCGAGAGGGATGCATCTTGCACCTGGTGAGGCCACTGCTGCCGTACGCATCGAGGTCTCACGCCCTCGCGGCTCCTCTGTGGCTCCCGAGCTCCGTGGCTCGCTTCTCTGCAGCTCGGATACTCTGGGCACGGATGGACCTGGTTTATCTTGCCCCGGCTGGAGGATGTCTTGCTTGTGTCCGTATGTTTGCCGGTTAGCTGTAATCGTGCTCACGCAGGCTTCTCACTGGACTTGAGTCCAGCTCAGCTGGCCAAACGCCTGGGCGCCTCACTGCTGGCTGAGCCTCGTGAGTGTCCCGTGGGGGCAGCCACCAGCTCTGCAGGGGCAGGGGGACCAAGTCCAGGCCTGGGCAGCTCAGCAAGTGCTGGTCGCAAAAGTTTTTAAAGCTGGGGGTGTAGTGTGGTGTGGAAGACCTGGGTTAATCCCCAGTATTACCAAAAGAAAAAAAAAAGTGCCACATGCTCCTGGTTTGTGTGTGTGTTTTTTTAATGATCCCCTCACCCCTTTATTTCTGTCCCTGAGGCTTGTAATCCCTTTTGTTTGTTTCTCATGGGGATTTTGTCATTTTATTTATTTCCCTCTGCCCAGCATCTTCTATCTAAATGTTGATGTGGTTTTCTGTCTGGACTGCAATGAGCCTAGTTCTTGGCTCTACTCATTCTGGGTCCTGCAGGTCCGTGCCCCGCCCCCCGCGCGTGCGCACGCGCACACACACACACACACACACACACACACACACACACCCCCTGGATCATTTCTGTGGACCTGTCTTGGAAGGGAACTAGACCTGCTCCAATCTGGGCTACTCCACAGCCCACCCGTGGGTCTTTAATTCACATGTTCAGTATTTTATTTTTAGGATTTGCACCTGGTTTCTTATTTCTCTGCTAAAACTCTGTTGTTTCATCTCCTGTCTCTGTTTCTGAGGATTGAACCCAGGGCCTTCACAGCCCTTTTTTTTCTTCCTCTTTTTTTATTTTGAGACGGGGTGACCCTGCTGCCTCAGCGTCCCAGGTAATAGCTGGGATGATAGGCATGGACCACCCTGCCTGGCTACATCATATATTTTTTGACTAACTTAAAATAGTTACTACAAATGGTTGCTGTTTTCCTATTTTGCATATTGCTGTTTTGAGTCATTTTAACTGTTGGGCTGGATTGTATGGATTCTCTGGCCCAGGTTTCCTTTCCTGCCTGGTGCTGGAGTGAGGCTCCGGAGACTGTTGAGGGATGCTGGTGGCTTCAGGGTCCCTGTACTGCTTTGCTGCTCTCTCCACCCAGGCTCATTCTCAGTGACCTCCTGGGCCCTCCCCTTGTGGCCCGGAAGTTTCAGGCACGTGACCATGTCTGGATCTTCCTCTTGGAGATTTGTGACATTTGCCCAGTGGCTCAAGTAGAACTGCTTGGGTGAGATTTCCTGGGTCTTGTGTGGGGAACTGACTAAGGCAGAAGGGTTTTCTTTTGTGTGTGTGTGTGTGTGTGTGTGTGTGTGGTACCAGGGATCAAACTCAGGAGGACCTTGTGCTTTTGAGGCAGGTTCGGTGCCACTGAGCTAAATTCCTGGCCCTGTTTTGGTTTTTTGAGACACAATCGCACTATGTAGTTCAGGATGGCCTTGAGCTCTCTGCTTAGCCCAGGCTAGCCTTGAATTTGTGACTGTCCTGCCTCAGCCTCCCAAGTGGGAGGATTACTGGCTTGAATGGTGGGGCTGGCATTGGGCAGAGGAAGCAGAAGGAGCCGAGATCCATGGGCAGCCAGGGGTGGCAGCTGTGTTGGGGGGTGCACTTCTTGTGGGTGAGCACCAAGGCTGGGGCCAGGCCACTGAACACCTTCTCTCTGAGCCAGTTTGAAAACTTGGAGGGCAGTGGGGGTTCTTATGGGTTTTGGGCTGCAGCAGAGTTTTACTTTAGGGAGAGGGATGTGGGTGGATCTCTGAGGTGTAGTTGCTGTCCTGGCAGGGTCTGATGAGTGTTTCTTTTTTTCTGGGGTTTTTTTGAGACACGGTCTTACTATGTAGTTGAGACCGACCTGGAACTCACTATGTAGCCCAGGCTGGTCTCAAACTCGCAGGGATCTTCCTGCCTCAGCCTCCCGAGTGCTGGGATTACAGGTGTGCGCCACCACACCCGGCCACGTCCAACTTTTTTTGGTGTTTTGAGACAGCGTCTGGCTACGTAGCCCAGGCTGGTCTTGAACTCAGAGCAGTCCTCCTGCCTCAGTCTCCTGTGTTCTGGGATTACAGGCATGTGCCACCATGCCTGCTTGGCTTCCGATGAGTGTTTCAGATTGTGCACTCACCACCATGTAGAGCAAGGCTGTCGGGGGTGGCCTGGAGGCTGCATATCCCCTCTGCCATCTGTAGTCCCTGCGCCTCCCTGCACTGTTCAGGCTCAGTGCCAGTCCAGGTCTGGGCTGGACCCTTGGTGCCTCTGCAGCCTCCAGCTGTGTCGCTGCACCAGACCTCAGGGCCAGGCCTGCTGCACTCTCACCCGAGAGCTGTCCCTTTAAACAGCCTCCTGTCCTTAGCTCCCTGAGGATCTTGCTGAGGAGTGGCCCTGCTTACTTGCATTTACTTGGGATCTCCTCCTTGTGCTGGGGGGTCTTGTGTGATCCCTGCAACTCTGGCTACGTGGGGGTCTGTGCTAGACAGCAGAGGGAAATGCCTGCAGGCCACCTTGGCTAGGAAGCCAGGCCTCAGCCAAGGGGTCGACTCCAGGCAACTTCCAGGAAGGAAGACTTGGAGGTGGGGGGGCTTGTTTTCCTGGTTTGTTGCTCCTTGGTAGGGTGGCCAGGTAAGATCCAGGATGCCCAGTTAGATTCTAATTATAAATATTTTAATATAGACACACACTGTGCAACACTTGGGACATACTTGTGCTAAAAAATGGGGGGGCTGTCCTGCTGGCATTCAAAGCCTGTTTTGTTGTCCTATACTTCATTGGCTAAATTGAGCAGCCCAAATCCTGGGCCCTTACAAGCGAATGTCGATATCATGGAGGTAAAATGCACACCCCAGCCTGGTTCCTGGGAAATCCTGGGATGTCTCAGAAGGTCCGCTCCGGGGGTGGCCTGTATCCCAGAAAGGGCGGCCCTGTGCCCATCTGCCCTGGTCCTGTGGATTAAGATGGGCAGTATGGGTGGCACCTGGGCCGATGCATTAGAATTCACCCAACGGCATTAGTTGAGCACTTGCTGTGTGCAGGCCCTGCCCTGGTGGCAGCCTGGAGGCAGGATGAATACACAGCCAGGTAGGTGCTGCTTGCAGGTGACCCCTATGTGTGGGGACACAGTCCTGCCGCCTCCATGAGATGGGTGTGACTTCACCCAGGATGGGGGCTCCTGGACACGGCCCCCCCACTAAGGTGGGACACCCTAAATTAAGAGGTCCACTGAGGAGTGGAGTCCAGGCAGCCTGTGCAGCTCTGGGGTTCCAGCTTCATGGTGCTGGATCCAGAGTGGGAAGGCCATGGTCCCAGCCCTCGGAGTGTGCCCGATGTCTTCCCACACCGCTCCCCAGCCTCGCCAGCCCACTGCAGGCCTGGAACCACCGATGGGGTCCTTGACCTGAGCTGGGGCCTCCCAGTCCATAATCTAACCTTGGCGACCAGCCTCACCTCACTGGGACCCAAGAGAAGCCGAGAGTAAAGGTAGAGTAGAGGTGCCTGCACTTAGTTGGCACCCACTGTGTACCAGCCCCCTCCATACATTTCACAGGCATCTCTGGGCCAGTCAGGTCAAGATGGGGCACCAAGGGGCAGAGCTGGTGCTGAGCCCCTAGCCCCACTGCCTGGGACCATGTAGCCTGGGGAGTGAGTTCCATCTCTCAGAAATTTGAGCAAGACCCCAACCCCCTTTTGGCTCTGTCACTTGCAGTGGGTGTCCTGGCTTTCTGCCTCCCAGCCGTGGGCACCCCACACAGGGGCAGCAGACAGGAGCTCCTCAAGGCGTGGAGGGCCCCACTAACAGGTACTTGACCCCAGTTCTGACCCTAATCCTGATTTTTGCTGCCCCCACCGGTTTTAATCCTGACACTGCCTGGGGATTTTAAGGACTGACCCCTATCTTGACCAGCCTTCCCCGCCAGCTCCTTCCTGGGGAGCCTCCCAGGCCCCTCCCTGCTCTGCCTGCCCGATGCAGGGCTCCCCACCCAGCACTCAGTAGGTGTTCAATAAGGAATGATCTCTCTGGGGCTTGGATACAAAGTCACGCCCTCCTCTCAGCAGGAAGTACTGAGCGCCCTCTGGACTTCCTGAGGGTGGCGTCCCGGGTGGGAGGAGAGGGCAGTAGCAATGCCACCCACGGATCGCATTTATGCCGGGATTGAACTCCAGCCCTAATTCCATGAGCCTGTGCATCAGGATCCACGAAGGAGCTGTGAATGAGGGGCGGAGCCGAACGCTCCAGCCACCCCACCCCACAGGCGGGCGCTGCTCTCTCAGGTGTTACAAGCCCCAGGCACCCCATTTGGGGGCTGCTGGGTTGAAGGATGATGCAGTTAAATACGGCTTAGGCAGCCCAAGGAGGCGACCTCCGGAGCCAGCCTCCGTTCGAATCCCGGTCCTACCACTCTCACACCACAGCCCTGATTCCCACCACAAGGTGTGACGGCCCAAAGAACCCGTGCAGCTGTCGGGACGCAGCGTTTGCGAGGGGTCTTTGGCCTCGGTTTTCAGACCCAGCGGTGTGCGGGACCCTTCCTCCCCACACTGAGCATCGCAGCTGTGGGAGGGAAGCGCTCGCTCTGCGGGGCCACGGCGCGTCCTGGCTTCCGAGGTGATGGGGTGTCCAGCCTGGCGAGGACAACGAGCACGCGCGGGGACTCCGTTGCCCGAGTCTGGGGGCCGCCCTGGTGACCTCTACATCGCCGTCCCGAGGTATCTGGCGGCTGCTCCGGGCTCAAAGACCCTTGCCCCGCGCCGCACGCGGG